TACGATAAAATAAAAATAAGTTATTAATTACATTAGTCTTTATTTTTCACACGCACAAACATTTAATACTTAACTTTTTGGTATCATGTGCCACAAAAGTGTATATATTTTAAAATGTAGAGCTATAGTCTATACATTTTAATTCATTGATCTAACGTTAATGGTGGAAGCCTACCAAATAAAATAAAAACAGTACAATAATTACAATTACAGCTAAAGTTATAGACTATCTAAATTTGACAGAAATTTTGGATCGAAGGATATTTTCATAGGTGTCAAAAAGTATAAAATGTGAAGTAGGATTGCTACTACAAAAATATGTATATTTTTAGGAAACCTAAATACTTTATATTGACATACTGTGACGGCCCATTATTATTATAAATATTTAATAATTATTTTCTAAATGAAGCCGTCAAAATTTTTCTTAGAAAAAGTATATTATACAATAAAAATACATCAACAAGCATAAAGTTAAAACAAATTCATTTCAGATTGTAAGTATTATAGTAAATTAGAGGCTTAATACGAGGGTGGATTGAAAAGTACTCGGCCTAACCAAGAAAATAAACACATACTAAATCAGTTATATTTTTATTTTTCTACATAATCACCATCAAGTTCAATACACTTTTGCCACCTCCCCTTCCAAGCATTTAGACCGTTGAAAAAAAATGATTCTTCCTTAGAGTCAAAATATGCGTCTACAGCTGCTTTGACCTCGACGTTTGTCGAAAATCTTTGAACTCCCAAGTACTTTTTTAGGTTAGGGAACAGAAAGAAGTCTGATGGTGCCAGATCAGGTGAATACGGCGGATGCGGTAACAGTTAAAAGCCACAGTTGTGAACTTCAGCCATTGACTGTACTGACGTGTGAACACGGGCGTTATCTTGATGAAACAGGACTTTTCTTCTGAGCATTCCTCGACGTTTTTCTTTTATTTCCTCTCGTAAACGACGTAGTAAGGTGCAGTAGTAATCAGAGTTTATAGTCTGACCCCTTTCAAGATAATCAATCATAATCACACCTTTCGAGTCCCAGAATACTGAAGCCATCACCTTATTTGCCGACAAAATCGACTTAGCCTTTTTAGGGGGTGGTGAACCAGGTTTTCTCCACTGTTTTGATTGTTGTTTTGTTTCCGGTGTACAGTAATGAACCCATATTTCGTCCATAGTAACAAAACGATTCAAAAAATCATCTGCATCGGCTTCAAATAACTCCAAACAGTCGCGTGAAATAGTCAATCGCGTCCTTTTTTGTTCAACTGAAAGCAGTCGCGGAACCCACCTCGCAGACACCCTTGTGGAAACCCAACTCGTTGACAATGATGTTTTGAGTTCATTTATAAGAGATGCCTATAATCTCGGCTATCTCTCTAATTTTTAATCTGCGGTCTCCCATTATTAAATCAAGTACTTTTTTAATATTTTCGTCAGTAGTTGACGTCGAAGGCCTTCCAGAGCGGGGTTCATCTTTCACACTCTCTCTACCACGCTTAAATTCTGCTATCCATTTTTTGACGGATGAATGTGACAGAGCACAATCGCCTAATGTACTGACCATGTCATCATGGATGGCTTTTGATGATAGCCCCTTCTTATGGAGGTACTTAATGACGGCACGCTGCTCGATTTGCTCCATTCGCGGAAATTATGTCCGATTACTTTGTTAATAAATTTATAAAATCACAACTAATTATCGCACACGTTTCGAACTTCACACAATGAACTAGTCTGAACTGAACTAAATAATGTGGGTAGATTTGATTTTTAGAATTGAATGGATCTGTGTTAGGCCGAGTACTTTTCAATCCACCTAGGTATTGCCTTTCAAAATCAATAAATTTATTAAAAACTTTGTTCAAGTATTCAAAATGTGATAATTAATAGAGATACAAGTCAAAAATATTACAATATTAATATTAAATAATATGTATGAAATAATTGGAAAATTGGACAAAATTAATCAATGGAAGTCATGGCGGGAGTTCGTGTATATGAAAATTTCCTAAGTCAACGAGCTTGTCCGCGTACAAGAAAATTCTTAAGTTAGGATGGTGTTTGTGTATATATTGCTTTGTGTACATATAGATAGGGTATCTGAACTATTCATATTAGGGGCTGATTAGAGAGGCCCCCCCCCCTCAGCGTTAGATACTCAATACGCCTAAAAAGGCGACATGATGATTGGTAACAATACCAAATCATAAACCATTCCTCATCATCCTCACCTGATTGCCGTTCCCCGAGTCAGACGAAGCTGTAAGAGTTTCATAGACTAACAGCGTTAACATCCAGAAACTAGACTCAATATTAGGGACTTATAAGTAAGGTCTATTATATTAAGGCATTATAGAAAGTCTCTATGATGCATAAGCATTAAAATAATAGAGTTGTGGGTTGGTGACCAATATAATAAAGACTTAAGATGGTAAGGTCTATTATATATATTAAAGCATTATTATAGAAGGTCACTATGATGCACACGCATTGAGGTACTAGAGTTGTGGGTTCGAAGTCCCATATATTAAAGATATACACTCGTAGTAGTAAGGTCTATGACACAAAAGCATTATTTTAGAAGGTCTCTTTGAAGCATAAGTATTACGATAGTAGAGTTGTGGACTGAAGTCCTATAAATTTAAGACATGTAATAGTAAGGTATATGAAATAAAACAAATATGTGGAAGGTCTCAAGTAAGTAAAAGCATTATATTAATAGAAATGGGAGTTGAAAAGGATCATTACAGTGGGGTGTATACACTACATCACAAGCGACCGAGACCGAGGTAAACTTGGACTTGCTAACCGATATGTCCTAGACTTGAATGAATTAACCAATAAAAGTGGTTAATTTGTTCAAGGTCCTAGACATGTCATTTTAGCGCTGGTGGTAAGCGGGTTTGATGTAGCAATATGGCTATCCCGTGAAAATCGAACACCCATACCGTTTGTGGGCGGCGTCGTAGCGCGTAGCGGTGCGTCGACTATCTTTCGGATTGGGATGAGTGTGTTTGGTAGCACTTTTAAGTGCTATGATACCTGAAGTTTGTGAATAGCATGCTACTATGATAAGTTGGTGTTATTTTTAGTTAATAACGATACAAATTTCGTTACCAAAGTCGATAGGGATCATGTGGGTGTGTTGTGAGGGGGCGCCGTCCGTATGATAGCTGCATTGATACTTACTGCTACTTGCGTTATTGCATCTTGTGACGGATCTGCGGGTGTGCTGCGACTAATTCGATGCATCTTGTGGTTCTGGTCGATGAAGGTATGTGGGTGGTGATATGTACTGGGATTGTACGGCGGACCTTGGGATGGTGTAAACGCGACGGTAGTCGTATTGATGCTTGATACGTTCTGCAGCATTGCGTCTCTGCAATGGTTGTTTTGTTGGTCGCTATTCTCAATGGTGCCCTCTACGTCTTTGTTTGACTTACACCTAAGTAGCTTTGCTCAAGTTGGGTCCTTTCATTACGGGGCTGCAGACTGTCTGACTTCGAATAATTGAATAATTGAATAATTGAACGCAACTTGTTGGTAGGTGAGGCAAACATGATCGAACATACACTCAACGTCAGTGACACAAACTCTTTCTGATGGCAAATTATTATCTTATAACTGCCTTTTGGCTGTATCTGCCGTTGTATTGGTTGGCGGAGCATATGTATCGACCTCATGCGGGTAGTAGATGGAGGGAGGATCTAAAGAAACTCTCAAGACTGCGGCCGAAAGCCGCACAACGTAGGACCCTATGCCCTTGAGGTGAGCGGTAGACTCATGACACGCTCTGCGGCTAGTAGCTGTACCGATCATGCAATCGGTGGTGATGCCGTACACATAAATCACGTCTACAGGAACGGCGGTTTAGCAGGTGGTGGGGCTTACGGAGGGCTTTTTATGGCCAGTGTGACGTACATGCACTATGACTGAATTTGTTCGTATTCTGTACGGCGTTTACACGCATTGACATGCGCGACTCCGGTCTATTTTTCCGCTTACGCACTACCTAGGGGCCAAGCTGTCTTTTACTAGTTCGCTAGTTATTTTTCTGTGAACTACGGACCAGCTCCCAACTTAACGTCCCCTTCGGGGGGAGCGCGTTAATTGGTTGGCGCTCACCGCACAAGGCGTGGGCTGCTCCACATTTTTTTAAAATAAATGTGGGGAAGCGAAACCCTTGTATCAGGTATTTCTATTTGTATACATATTGTGAGCCTTTCCGAAGCGGTAAGGGATAATTGATAATAAATTAATAATGTAAACCCGATACAAGTGGAATAGGGATGGTTTAACATTCTTTACCTTTCTCAAGCCCCGTCTTCGTGAACGGGGTTCACTTAGCTTATAAGGCACTAACACTGACTTTGAACTGCTCTAGTGAATATTTATTCTCCCAAAAGATACCTAAAAGAACTAAGTTACTAAACAAACACTACGTTAATAAGAGCCCTAACTAAAACGATCACGCCATAAATATTACATCAGGCCTATTATTAAACCTTTAGAAAGATCAAAATATATACATTTATCCGGGTCACATGGATAGATATAATTTTATACGTAAGGAAGAAATAATACAAATAAGAGGGCAGTGGCGTTACAATACGTAAAACTTACGTACGTAAACATTTTCGGAATCACCGCGCGCTCTCGTCGAAAGTAGACTTGTTGTTGTTAGTTAAAAGTGTGGCTTTATGTAATATCAACTGATTTCATCTTTACGAGTGACTGTGTTAAGTGCTATAATTGACTGCAATCATATTTACAAATCAAGGGACTAAACAACTGTCTATAATTGAACTGTTCGTGGTCTTGGAAAAATACCATTATCTTATTTGCAATTACTTCAAACTGTTGCAAAAAGGTCGATACAGCGCACACCACCAAAATTTTCGTCCAATCCGAATTTATCTGCATCGGCGGAGGTAGATGATATTTTTGTCAATTCACGTAAGCGTAAGCAACCTGAAAATGATAACATTACTTACCGAATGAAAATATTAGAAGATAAACTCGATAAATTTGATCAAAATATATTGGAGACTACAACCAAGTCCTTTTTGGCAAGTGAGTTGTCTAATATAACAGTGTCATTTGCCACTCTAAATGACACTGTTGATGGCCTGCGCTCCGACAATCTAACATCAGAGCATCTAACTTTAAAAAACAAGCACTTGTTTCGAGAATGTCGTAACAGAGCCAAATCACACGATTACAAGTTTGTATGGGTCAAACGTGGTGTTATCCTTACACGCAAGACCGAAAATTCTCCAGTGCTGGCTATACGCTTGGAACAAGACCTCAATAAGATTAAGTAACTACCATTTGAGAGGCTTTTCATTTATGGTAGGTCAATTGAATGTAAAATACCTACAGTAATGCTACTAGTTATAATAGTATATATGTGCCATGTTAATTCAATAAACTGGCAGACTCATAAACGTGTACATATAATTTTAATAAATAAATTCTTTATCTTGGTAACATCAATATTAAACAATAAACTGTTTGAGCTCTTTCTTTATAATAATATTAAATCGTATTACTTATCAATGTATAAATATTACTACTATCTTAACTTTATTATTATTATACTGTACATTTATTATGGATCCATAATGGGATGGCATTGTTTTTTCATCATATTAATCTTTCATAACCTTGAAATGTCAAATCATACTTCTGGCACTACGTTTTTCACACCACTATCCATGCATTACAATAAAATCATTATTATTTCCTATACATGTAACGAATATTGACTCATTATTTCAAATAACGATCTCTTAGTAATATTTTAACAGTCTACTGTAAAATACGATAATTTGAATAATAACTTACTATCATTGTATTATCAAAATTGCCGCGGACTGAGGACCAAACTTAATACGATATACATGAATATTTTGATGTATTCCTACGACGTTATTATACTAACCGAGACGTGGTTGCATGCCGACATAGCAAACTACGAAACGAAAAAGTATAAAAATCAAGCAGACTACTGAGTATTGTCAATGTACTGTGAAAGATTTAAGAAAGAGGAAAAAAATGTTACAATAATTATATAAACAAAGTTGAAGATGGTATTAAATATAACATAAAATATTTCTGGACTTATATAAATAATCGCAAAAAAAACAATGTAATATACCTAGTAGCGTAAAATTGGAAAATTCAAAAGCCGACAACCCAGATGATATTTGCAACATGTTTTCGAAATTCTTTCACTCAGTTTTTCAGCCTTCAAACGTACCGGACTCTTATAATATTACCGACATATGTGATTTAGACAATAAAACTCACATTAATAATATTATTACCAATATGTCAATAAAAGATAACTATATCATAAGAAAACTCCAACTATTAGACGTCACAAAAGGACCCGGTATGGATAACGTTCCGCCGATTTTTCTTAAAAGAACGGCTAAAATTATTTACAAGCCAATTCATGTTTTATTTAATAAATACCTAGGAGAGGGTGTCTGTCCAAATATATGGTAATTTGCTAGGATTGTTCCAGTACACAAGGGGGGTTTGAAAGAAGACGTGACTAACTATCCACCTATTTTAATCTTGTCTACTATAGCAAAGCTTCTTGAAAGATTCATACACAGCAGCCTGTAATTTTATATCCACAATTATATTTCGCCACAACAACATGGATTTGTTTTAAAGCGCTCAACCATCACCAACCTCATGGTTTATGTAACTGCATTATTCGAAAACAGGGACTCTAATAAAGAAACAGATACTGTGTATACAGACTTTAAGAAAGCTTTTGATCGTGTTGACCATAAAATTTTGTTAGAGAAAATCGCCGTCAACGGTATTCGAGGCAATCTTTGGAGATGGTTTAAGTCATATATAACGAATAGGACCCAAAAAGTGGTAATTAATGGTCATGAATCTGATATCGTAACGGTAACATCAGGCATTCCGCAAGGATCAATTATTGGACCATTTTTGTTTATAATTACATAAACGATATAAACGAAAGTTTCAAAAATTGCAATTTAATTCTGTATGCGGATGACCTTAAGATATACCGTACGATTGAAAATATTGGTGACCATTTAAAATTCCAAGAAGATCTGAACCGATTGACAGCTTATTGTGACCGTAATAAATTGAAACTTAGCTTAGATAAATATATAAGTTTTAGCAAGAAAAAAAGTATAAGTTATTTCAAATATTCTTTGTGCGGCGCAAATATCGATAGGGTGCATAAAATTAGAGATTTAGGAGTTACATTAGATATCAAACTAACACTAGAAACTCATATTGAGAATATTTGTAATGGAGCATATATCTTATAACAGTGGTAGAGCCACGCGGCAGCTTTGCTGTTGCACGCATGGGCCGGCTCAAACCGGGGTGGTACCACGACCTCACAGAATACCGGCGTGAAGTGGAAGCTCTGCTTCCGCGTTTCGTCTGGTGAGCAGGTCAGATTTCCGTCGACGCCCCTTTAGGCTCCTCGGACCATTGTCTTGTCCGGAGTGTGGTGCCACTCACGCTGAAATTGCAGTTGCATTCTGCAGGCTGCCGCCGTGTTTGGCACTATAGGTCAGCCGATTGGGATGGGATGCAGTTTTTTCTTTGCATCCTACCCTTGGGGGCGGGTTTGCTTCTTGCCGGACGATCCCAACGTTGTTGCGGATTCTGTCGCTGATGTGGTACTTCAGGGTAAGGAACTTTTTATTCCTTCCTCTGTGGTGCCCATTGGAGGCAAATCTCAGCCATGATTTGGTCGCTCCTGTAAAATAGCATCATGCTATAAGCAGGAGTGCTTCCAAGCCTGGGCTGACGCATCAGCGTCCCGGGATGTAAACACCAGCGCTCTAAAAAAGAAGTATAATTCCGCCTCTAGGTCCTTAAAAAAAGAGTCATTACCAAGGCAAAGTCTGAGCACATAGGCAGAATTGGCGAGAAACAGTTCGCCTTCCTTCTGGAACCCGTGCATTCTGGTCTCTCGCCAAGGCTGTCCAGGGGAATTTCTGTCAGCCATCTTTTCCATCTCTACACAGGGAGGACGACTCACTGGCCCATACCGCAAAGGAGAAAGCCGATCTTCTAGGCTCTTTCTTTGCGTCCAACTCGACTCTCGATAACGGGGGGAGTACGCCGCAGACCATCCCGCGGTGTGAGTGCTCCATGCCGGAAGTGCAGTTCACACAGCGCTCGGTTCGCAAAGCACTCCTCTCCCTGGACATTCACAAGTCGACTGGGCCTGACGGAATCCCCCCAATTGTGCTGAGGACGTGTGCACTAGAGTTGGCACTGGTTTTAACGCGTCTTTTCCAGTACTCCTACTCCCTAGGCGTAGTCCCAAAATCATGGAAGACGGCTTTCGTCCACCCGATCCCAAAAAAAGGTGATCGCTCAGACCCGTCCAACTACCGGCCTATCGCCATCACCTCCTTATTCTCCAAAACAATGGAGTCCATTGTAAACTGCCAGCTCATGAGGGTACATTGAGGATCACCAGCTGATTAGTGACCGCCAAAAAGGTTTTGGCCGTGGTCGGTCAGCTGGTGATCTTCTGGTCTACCTAACTCACAAATGGGCGGAGGCAGTAGAGTTCAAGCGGGAGGCATTGGCCGTTAGTTTGGACATTGCGAAGGCCTTCGATCGGGTTTGGCACAAAGTGCTTCTTTCGAAGCTTCCTTCCTATGGGCTTCCCGAGAAATTGTGCGATTGGATCACCAGCTTTCTTGCAGATTGGAGCATCAAGGTCGTTGTAGACGGTGCAAGCCGATTGCAAGCCTATTAATGCTGGTGTTCCACAAGGCTGCGTGCTATCGCCAACGCTGTTTCTTCTGCATATCAATGATATGTTGCAAACCCTTAACATTCATTGCTATGCAGATGACAGCACTGGTGATGCTCTAAACACCGGCCGAGCCAATATTTCTCGGGAAAACGTCTCCGAGTGCCGGGACAAACTTGTTTCTGAAGTCGAGTCTTTGGTGAACAGAGTCTCGGATTGAGGGCGACTAAATCTAGTCCAGTTTAACCCCCAGAAGACACAAGCTTGCGCGTTAACCGCTAAAAAGAACGCCTTTGTCGTATCTCCTCAGTTTCAAGGCACTCCCCTTGTTGGCCTCAGCCAGTATTGGAATCCTCGGCGTAGACATATCGAGTGACGTGTAGTTGCGTGGTCACTTGGAAGAGAAGGCTAAATTGGCCTCTAAAAAACTTGGCGTGCTCAGCAGAGCGGGACAGTATTTCATGCCGGCACATTACCTGCAACTTTACAAGACGCAGGTTCGGCCGCATATGGAATACTGTTCCCATCTTTGGGCTGGGGCTCCCCAGTACCAGCTCCTTCCACTTGAACGCATCCAGCGCACAGCGGCTCGAATCGTCGACGACCGAGTGCTTTCCGATCGGCTCGATTCACTGGCACTGCGAAGAGATGTTGCATTTCTTTGTATTTTCTTTCGCATACATGGAGATCTAAAACAAGGGACACGCGGCAAACGTCCCGATACCATCCACACCATCTGGATGCTTGGCGGTTCACCACTGTACGTTTCAAAAGGAGTTTTCTTCCGCGTACAACCTCTCTGTGGAATAGTTTACCACCGGCGATTTTTCCGGACCGATACGACCTGGGGACCTTCAAGAAAAGAGGTTACTCCTTTCTAAAGGGCCGGCAACGCACCTGCAATTCCCCTGGTGTTGCGGTTGATCATGGGCGACGGTATTCACTTAACATCAGGTGAGGCGCATGCTCGTTTGCACCCTCTTCTATAAAAAAGAGCATATAAGATGTATGGGTTCGTTATCCGCTCTAGTAACGATTAAAAATGGCCAAGTACATACACAATATATTTATATAAATCTTTAATACGCTCTCAAACTGTATATGCCGTCTCTGTGTGGGATCCCTTTTACAAAAAATACTCAGAACTTCTTGAAAGAGCGCAAAAGAACTTCCTACGTTGCATGCATTTTAAATGTTAAGATAGTAAATTGTTTTATTCAAAACTGTTACAACAATATAAATTATTTAATCTTAAAACTAGAGGGTTACAATTACAGGTTAAGCTATTTTACGATTTTTGCAACAATAAGTACGATCGTATCGATATAGTAGATAAGCTATGTTATAAAGTACCAGTCAGATCACACACTCGAGCATGCCGTATATACAAATTCTTTGCTACACCTAAGTCTCGAACGAATGCTGGGATACGTTCACCATTGACACGTATGACTGAAGGTTATAACAACTACTTCATTACCCTAGACTTATTTGGGACTAATGTTATTTCCTTTAAAAATTCAGTTTTAAATCTGTTGCGTG